GAAATAGTAATAAAATAATTGATTTTTTTAAGAAAAAACGACTTATGCATATTTTTTAACGCATACGTTTAATATCTATTTAACTATTTTTTATTTTTTTTAAATATTTGTGTTGCTTACATTATAAATTTTTTTTAATTTAAAATTTTTTTCTCTTAATAATTCCAAATAGAAACATAGATTTGAGAAATTTTTTTCTGCGTAGTTTTACTTTATAAATAATAGTTTTTTCAATTTAGAATTCTTTTTAAATTTTTATTATTAATCAGTATTTTTTAATAGTTTGAGATAAAATTTAATTTTCTAGTAATAATTCAATATATAAAATGATGAAAAAAAACATATTCAGTCCGTGCATGGAGAAAATTTTTTTCGTCATATCACATAATTTTTTTTGAGCAAAATGATGTATTAAGAAAATTGTTGCAAAAAAGAATAAATAGTAATAAAATAATTGATTTTTTTAAGAAAAATAACGTATACGCATTTTTAACATATACATTTTATTTCCGTTTAACTATTTTCGATATTTATTTAGATCATCTGATATCTCTACGATATAGTTCTCAAAATGAGTTTCGAGAGAATGTAAAACATTTATCAATTCGACTATTGTACAATCGTTGACGAATTTTTAAAGTTAACTTGTTACCGAAAATTTTGAAATAGTAATAAAATAATTTATTTTTTTAAGAAAAAACGACTTATGCGTATTTTTTAACACATACGTTTAATGTCTGTTTAACTATTTTCGATATCTATTTAGATAATTTGATATCTCTACGATAGAGTTCTCAAAATGAGTTTCAAGAGAATTTAAAACATTTATCAATTCGACTATCGTACAATCTTCGATGAATTTTTAAAGTTAGCTTGTTATCGAAAATTTCGAAATATAGTTTTAAAATGCCTACTTTGACGTCCCATAACATTTGCTACGATTGACCGTTTCACGCATCGTTAAAGACGTGCAATACTATGCCGCGATTACTTCAAAACGATATTAAGAATGTAATATTTCGACTTCATTTGATATCCCGTAATGAGATTGAAAATGAACACAAAAATATAAGTAAAAAAAAAAATCATGGTCTCCGTGCACGAAGACCATGGCTCTTCGTGCACGGAAACTTCCTAATTTTTTATTTTTTTCTTTTGTGCACGGAGACAGTGTCTCCGTGCACGGAGAGATTACTTTTTTTTTACTGTGTAGTTTTACGTTATAATTTTTTTTTTCAATTTAAAATTCTCTTTAATTCTTTTCTCTTCAAGTTTTTTATCTACAAGTAATATGTTGTAAAAAAAAAATTTGTCGCATATTATCTCTATCTTTTTTTTTAATATAAAAGTGATTTTTTTCTTATATCCGTATTATATATATCTATATTTGAGTGAGGAGGAATGGAAATTGCGTATTGCAGTAAATTTGAAAGTAGTGTATAATAAAATAAAATATATATCAAGCAATGGGAGAGGAATGAAAATTGCGTATTGCAGTAAATTTGGAGATAATGTATAATAAAATAAAATATATATCAAGCAAGCGACGTCATTTTTGGCCCCCAATTGAAAAAAACAAAACAAAACAAAACAAAAATGTTACAATAAAGATGGATCAAGACAGTGTTGATTTCTACAGTGCCCTCACATTCCCTTTTTTTATATAGTAGGGAAAAGATCTGACATTTCCCTTGTTTGATTCCTATTAAATTACATTACATTACATTCTATTTTTCTCTCTCTTATTTTCAATCACACAATTTTTCATAAAATAATATTATACGTAAATCGAAAATTTTTCCTTCTTTTTCAACCACTCATTTTTTTTACAAAACACTGTTCTCCCCATTTTCATTACCAAAAATGGGGGCCAAACAGGGACTAGATATATACCCGTATCCGATACCTGTACCCGAGTCCACCTCATAGGTTTAAGGGGTGACAAAATCACAAAATACCACACCCTCGTCCCGTTATGGGTCGCCTGGCTCCATTGAGGAATTCTAGAGATGGGAAACATGATCTCTGGCCAAAACCGTCATGACTTTTATTTACTATTTTATTTTATACTCTAAAATTTAAATCCTATTTTAAAATTAAGAATAAAAAATAAGATGAAAAATAAAAATGTTTTAATCCCAACATCTTGAAAATTCACAGTAAAACAAGAGACAATCTCACCCCGTACCATCCCATCCCACCTAGTGGATATTCAAGCCCAAGCCCAAGCCCAAATCACGGACCAAGCATTTGACCCGGACCATTATTTTCATTCGTTTTTAATAAAAGGGAAAATTTCATAAGTAAGAAAACAAGTATGGCATATTTCAAAATTAAGAAAACAAGTTTCAAATTTCAAAAATTAGATTTTTATTAAATTTTATTTATGATTTAATTATTTAATTAATTAAATATATTTAGATTACAGATCTATACAATTTGGTCACGAATTAACGATTTAATTACTAACTTTTTTTTTGTCACAAGTCAAAACTTTTATGTCACAGTTTGTTCATCGATCACAAAACAAAAAATTAATTAGTCACGAAATAATTTTTAGTCACAACTTATTTCTGAATCACAAATAAAATTTTTATAAGTCATATATTATTTTTTTATTACGAATAAATTTTTTTATAGGTCACTGAATCAAAACTTTTATTGGTCACAACTCAAATATTCATTGCAAATTTTAGATTAATTGGTCACAATTAATATTTCGATCACAAATTAATTATTTTTAAGTCACGGTCATAGATTTTAGGTCACTTATTATAAATTTAGTCACGGTCACAGATTCAACCACATATTATTTACCGATTGCAAATTAACAATTTACTGATCATAACATAATTGGTCACAAACACTCTTTTCCACCCACTGCAACATTGCCAACCATCGCCTCACCAAATACACCACCACGGCCAGCTTCACCAGCACCAAAACCACCCAAATCCCCAACAACACCAAAACACAAATGACCACCACTACTCTAACAATCAAAAAAAACACCACCTCCACCACTACCCACACTAACGCACCATCATCACCATTGCAAAATCATATCCATCAACACCTAACAAATTAGAAACACACCTCTACTCCCTCAAACCTCACCTAGCCACCACTGCAACCCCACCACTGAATCACCACCATCATAGCAACGTTCACCCCCATCACCACCACCACCACCACCACCACCACCACCACTGTAAAATCATATCCATCCACACCTAACAATTCAGAAACACACCTCTGCTCACTCAAACCTTACCTGGCCACCACCGCAACCAGAGGCGAATTTAGGGGGGCTGGGCTGGGCTGTAGCCCCCCCAGGCCCAATAGCTTTTTTTAAGGTAATTTTTTATTTTTTTATTTTTGTAAAAAACCAATTTTTTATGTGTAAATTTTTTTTCGACATAGTAACCCGGTTTGAAATTTTATAGCCCGATCTTGAATCCAATCCTCGATCCGCCCTTGACTGCAACCCTACCGCTAAATCACCACCACCACAGCAACGTTCAACAACAAAAACACCCCAAACTCAAGAAAACCATCACCCAAAAAAAAATATATAAAATAAAAAAAAATCCTAACCATCGAATCGCCACCACCACCAAACTATCACCCAATGCCTATGCCCCCACCATCACCACCTATAACAAACACCACCACAACCCACCACTGAATCGCCACCACCACTACAACGTTCACAATACAATCAATCACCAACAAAAAACCCTAAACTCTGGTAAAGGCACAGATCGGAGGAAGAAATCACAGTCTACTTTGCATAAAAGTACAGATCGATGTCACATGACGCTTCCTCCTCGTGTTCCGACAGACTCGTTTTTAACAGAGAGAGAGAGAGATTTCTAGCAGATTGGTGAGAATAGAGAGACGAAATTGAGGGAGAATGGAGGGTTTGATTTGTGAAGGTAAGTTAATTAATTAATTAATTTAATTAATTAATTTTTAAATATATTAATTAATAAAAAGAAATCTGATTTTTTGAAAGAGTAAACTATGTATATAATTTATGAAATGAAATCTATAAATTTCCACTTAATAAAAACATACAACACTATCGACTCGTTTCCCTGTACTGTTAATTAATAATATGAACAGGAATATCCGTAATGGCGCATTTTAAGGGACGGCATAAAAGTGGCTGTGCATTCATTCAGTGCTTTCATTATCTCCCTATCCCAACTCTCCTTCAGGTCCCATTTCATTTATTTATTTCTCCACGCAAAAACCCACTAATTTTTTTTCTCGATTTTCCTGTTCTAAATTGTATATTTGTAAATGTTTATACTCAATCGCGTGTTTTTTTGGGTTTTACTGTGTTGCAGGGATTTTTCAGAGGTGGGTTTGTAATTTATGGTCGATTTTAAGGTATAGATTGATATATCTATTTACGTGATTTTGTTGGGGGAGTGAAACTGTGAAAATGCTTACATGCATAGCGCGTTCGAAACAACCCAGTGATGAATCTGTTGATGCCACTCCCGATAAACAAGCCATCAAAACCCTGACATCTCAGGTGATGATTTGTGCGCATTTCAATTAATGATTCAATTAGATTTATTTATTTGACATTTTCGGAACTGAATTTTGAATGTGTTGGGCTGAATAGATCAAGGATATGGCATTGAAGGCTTCGGGTGCATACCGCCACTGCACGCCGTCATGCACGAGTCAGCCAACTCAGGCACAGCAACTGAGGAACCGGAGTATTGGGGGCGAGTCAGACTTGGCTGCGTCAGACAGATTCCGGTGGTCGTACCGGCGGACGGGGAGCTCAAACTCGAGCTCTGCTGCTGGGAGGAGGGAGCTAGAGGCTCGGCTGAAGGGAATTTCAAGTGGCGAGGGTACGCCGGCATCGGCTAGCGGCCGACGAGTTGACCCGATTGTGTTCGTCGAAGAGAACGAGCCCAAAGAGTGGGTGGCTCAGGTGGAACCCGGAGTTCTAATTACTTTTGTGTCCTTGCCACGTGGCGGCAATGACCTTAAACGCATTCGATTCAGGTACTGTTTAGTAATTTTGCACATTTTCTTCATCGACTGAAAGGTTAATCTAACATTAAAATAATTTGGGTACACAATTAAGTCTCAATCAGCAAAATTCATAAATTATTTATAAAAGATCAAACTTCATCCATCACTTATTTTTATTTAGTTATAAATTCGTCTAAACATAGGCTAATTTAATCCATTGCTCAAATATTATATATTTTTATTTTCTCCATAATAAATTAATATTAATAGTAATAATTATCTTGTGAGTGGAGATTATAATTTGACATAATTAATTATGTGGGTCCACCATTGACAAAATTTGGTGTATGGCCGCTATGAAAGTTTGCATGCTTAAATTTTATACTATGACAATATGCTTTCCACACACATTTTTTTCATTATTGCTCGCATTACTGTTTTTTAAACTTATACCCTTGACTTGGTAAAAATTCCTACATTTTTAAAAATTATTTTTTTGCAATTTTTTACGGAAATTAATGTAACGTTTTTCAGTTTTTTTCGCAAAACATTAATTAGTTATACTATGGGCCTTTTCGATAGTGATTATGAAAATTGATTTTTTCACCGTTAGAGAGAAAAATAGGTCCCACCTATTAATGAAGAAGTCAAAAATAACAACTGACTTAGGCAAGTAACATTAAAAAAATCAATTTTTGGGAATGAAAAATCGAAACCAAACGGGGGCTATATTTGTTAACGTGAGTATCAAGTAGAATTACAGAAAATAAATAAATTAAAAACTTGTCCATTATCTTGTGAAACATTATATGGCGCTGATCAGGGTAGCTGCCCTAGGCTCTAGCCCACTATTAAATATGGAGGGAAAAAATTTAAGTGGAATAAAAAAATTTATAGCTTACCCCAGTATAATTTTGTGATTTTGCCTCCATCAAGTACTATGCACGAAACATGTTCTTAGAAGCTATGGCCTATAACAATCTTCAAGATTAATGTAAATATTGCAATTTTTTTCATGAATAACATCTAGTGAATTACGTATCTTTGACTCTTTCATGCTAATTTATGACATTTGAGAATAAACAATTAGGGGTTCGCTTGGCATGGCTTTTAAAAAGTCAAAAGGATATTTTGAGAACAAAATGTTGTTTTTGGATCTATTTGTCTAATTTTATGAAAGTGATTTTTCTAGATAAAAGAGCTTTTAGAGAATATTGATCCAATGTGACTTCTTTTAAAAATACTTTCAGAATAAGAAATTATTTTAAAATTAATTTTCAGGGAAAAAAAATTGAGGCATCTTCCTCCTTCAAAATCTCTTCCACAAAAATCGAAAGCAAAAGATTGTCAAATCACCCCTAAATAAATAAAGGGAAAGAAATGTTTATAATTTCTTCTTTTATGTGGATGTGAGGGGTCGGGTTATGGTTAGGCAATGCTGTTTATTGGTGTGCAGCAATTGAATTGATTAATGTTTGCATAATCCATGCAAAAAGGAAATTTACAATCATGTCATCAAGAAAGTGTTTTTCAGTTTTATTTGTTCAAATCGGAAAAATTTAGCAATATTATTATTATTTTATTATTATTTTTTTATTTACAGTAATTATAGCCAACATGATGAAAAAGGTCATGAGGAGAAAAATAGGACTGCTTCCTTTTTGAAAGTCCAAAAGGCAAAACTCATAAAAAGACTTTAGTGGGTCTGTGTTGATTGTGTTGGGCAACCCTTTTACTGATTGTCATTATCTTGTCGGGGATATTCCTTTCAATTTTCAATTTTTATTACCAGTTACATCTTCTTTAATTTGTCCATTTGTTACTGTTTCTTGTCTATTTGTTTACATAGACGAAAAAACAAATGCAACATCCTTTGCCACTCGAAACTTGAGTAGTGACAAAATATGCATCAGAATTTTGGCTTCTAAAGAAGAAACATAGCTATGGAGCTTTCACTTTACTGTTTTCTATGAACACATGGTAAGTTCTTGACAAAGTAGAGCCCGTGTATTAAAATTATGTGCATATCAGACATTTGTTGAAAAACATTCGAATATATCCTTATAGGGTGTGCTCAAACTATGAAAAATTGTGTGCATGTCATTTCATTGAATTCTAAGAAAACAAGTGAAAATATGGGAAGTTAACCACAATACATGGTTGATAACGGGATTTGCTTGACACGTAATGCTATGTAGCATCACTCGTCTTATTCACCAATTTATACGGGAGTGGACCCCAATAATTCATTGTTTAGTGAATTCAAAGTACATTCAAATTTCACTGGACAACGAATCGATGAGGTTCATTGTCACATAGACTGATATTAAGCACTAGTGGTGCTATGTAGCACACAATTATTGTCTAAACAAATGATATCATAACCCGTATATGAAAATAATACACATATCACTTCGGTCCGCACATGTGAGGCATGTTTAAATAATTAAATTAGCCCTCTTTCTAGAAGCTTTAACCTTTTATATTTCATCAGACACTAAAGAGAAGTTGTACATATAAGAATTCAATTCATGACAACAGACTCAACTTTTTGTTCTTTCTTTATAATCATAAACATTTCTACATGATTCCCACTAATCAATATAATTTAAGTTTAATCCTTCATAATGGACTGTGACTCGGTATGTATTCTTGTGAAAACTTTTGAATAATTTTCTTGGTTGCTTGCTAGCCTGTCATAACTCATTATTTGGTGGGAGGATTGTCTTGCCGTCTAAGAAAAGTCAAATGTAATACAAATTTTACATGTAGTGAAGGGCAATCTCTGATTATGACTATGCAGAACATGTAAAGAAATATTGTGCAGGGCCAATTTAATTAGTGGCTGCCAAATAATAGATAATTTAACATTGTCCTTTGATTACTTGGTGGAACGGAATTTGGCTTTGATCAACATATTTTATTTTACTTTTTATTTTAATATAATGCTACCAAACTCTGCATCAAGAATTCGACCTGCATGTACTGTTTATTCTTTCCTAAGGCTAAAAGAAATTAAATGTATCATTTAAGCCTTAATGTGTACGACGGAGCTTAGGCGTCAAAAGTTGATTTTGGACATTGGAAATTCTTTATGATTGAGAATTGGACTGGCTTCAAACATTCCACTCTTGCTGGATGATTATTTTGTTCGAAAGCCTTTGGATTGGTTACTGAGAGTTATGAGCTTGAAAAATCGCGTTTCTTTCTATGTAATACACATTGAAAGGTTCTTCTCAGTTCAAGTTTATAGAGTCGCAACTCTTGGTTATGGTCTTTAAATGACCTTTGAGAAACTGTCGATGGAGATAAAAAATAATAATAATAAAAAAATAAAAATAAAAAATAAAAACTTTCAATCTATGTTGCTCTTTTGCTTGTTTCTCTATATTGCATCATTTATACTTTCTTTTATCATTTTAGAGATAGATTGAAAACATTTGAGTCTGATTCATGTTGATCTTATTTGGTCAGCCGAGAAATATTCAACAAATGGCAAGCTCAAAAGTGGTGGGCTGAGAATTATGAGAAAGTGATGGAACTTTACAATGTCCAAAGACTGAACCGCCAAGCTTTCCCTCTCCCGACAACTGCAAGATCCGAAGATGACAACAGTTCAAAGATTGAATCAGCTGAAGCCAGTCCAGTAACACCACCACTGGGCAGAGAACGGCTCCCACATACTTTACACCGACCAACTGGAATGGCATTCTCATCTTCAGATTCACTTGATCAACAGTCAGTGCACTCTCGCTATAATTATGATTCTTTCGGTGTAGCCTCAACTCCTAAACTCTCGAGCATTAGTGGTGCTAAAACTGAAACGTCATCAATGGATGCTTCCATGAGGACTAGTTCCTATCGCTCTGGAGAGATATCAATAAGCAATGCCAGTGATCTTGAAACTGAATGGGTTGAACAAGACGAGCCTGGGGTTTATATTACCATCAGGGCATTGCCAGATGGTAGAAGAGAACTACGGCGTGTTAGATTCAGGTTAGTTTCTACATTCTGCCTCTACATTGGATTGTGTAGAGCCTAATCATACTATATGCTTATTAAGATCCTATTTGGCAGGGATTAAAATCAGAATTTTTGTACATTTGGATAAAATTTGATGACTTGTGTGGTTGAAAAGTTGTGGGTTACGTGGTTAAAATTAATTGTTGATTTTGACTTAGATTAAAATCTGAATTTTAATTTCTAACAAATAGGGAATAAGTATTTGTATTAGGTCCCCCTATTATTCCTATGATATATAGAGGAATTTCAAGGTCAGTTTTCTAAGAGACACTTCATACAAAAAAAGGGGAACAGCTAATAGATGTAGCTCTCATTTTGAGAGTTCATTTCCTTTACTGCTATCGTAAATAGGGATTTGGACTTGATCCATAAGGCTATTCTTGATCTTAAATTGAAAATGCAGCCGAGAGAAATTTGGGGAGATGCATGCTCGACTATGGTGGGAAGAGAATAGAGCCCGGATACATAAACAATATTTGTGATTGGATCAAACACCAAATCGAAACATGCTGCAAGTTGCTGATGGAGGTGATGATACCCTTATATATAGTAGCCTGTATGTAAGTGATGCATCTGATACACAAGGAGTCTCGGCTTTGCGATTTCTCAAAACAACCTTGTGGATTGTGGGGATGTTTTATTTTCTTTTTCAATTCATTACATGAAATTTTGGTAAATTATGAGCTTTCATAACATGTATGGAGAAGAACAGTCAATACTGAAGTTGAATATGGAAATACTTAAATGTCCTCCCTTTTTTTCATTCTTTCAAGCTACTACTTGTTGAAGATTATATTTGTTTTGCAATGAATGGTACTCAATGTAAAGTTTCCTTCCAT